GCAGTATGATTATTGCAGTAAATAGTTGGGCTCAATCCCTCTAAGAAGCCTCATAGGATACATTTCAGATTTGTCCACTTGAGACACAGACTCAGGTGCACTTACCCACTAGTCCCCATCCAACACTTGGTCAGGGCTGCACCATTACATGTTTATTCCTACCACTTTCAGGTTTGGTAAGCATCAGAAGGGCTGACTGGATTCTCTTGGACATTTTATAATACATACTGGCACCAGAGAAATCTGGGAATAGAGAACGAAAAGTATGTGATTCATTTGAAATGAGACATTAGGTTACATCCACAATGAGTAGAGTAAAATGATGGGCCAAGAGAATGTGAGGTGGGGCACGAAACATGTACAATTCTCACCTCTCATTTTATGATGCTGTTGAAACTAATAAGGACACCCTCTTAGGTGGGAATTTAAAAAGTAAAAACAGATAAGTAAGAATTTATTATAAGAAAAAGTACTTTCCAAATTTGATATGAGAATTTAATAAATTATTTCCATCAGGATTGCAGCCTATATGGAAATTCAAATATGGGTAACACTATGAAAGGTTGTATTCTTCACAAAGCTCACACATGCTGAAGAGTATAAACATAAACCTATGTTTTTTAATATACAAAATTATCATTTCTAGTTTCTCTGATTATTTATATTTTATTTCCTCCTTTGTTTTGTAGGGATAAATTTCAATGTATTCTTGCTTGTAATCTTTGTTTTTTTAAATTGCAATTTTCAAAGGACTTCAAAAGCTGAAGGGTTTCTGGTAATCCAAATTTATAAACTGTTTCTGTTAAAGATGTTCAGCTTATTTTGAAAAAAACTAACCAAATTTTGGAAGAATCACTTACAAAATATGCAACACTATTGTAGGGCATTGATACTGGTTTACAAAGTAGTGAAATAAATTCAGGACATTTCTAAAAATGTGACTGATGCAGGGAAGCAAAAAGAAAAACAGGTACTGCTATGATTAGGTCTTTTCTTTCTTTCTTTCTTTTTGATTCAACATAGGCTTCACCACAAAAAAGAATTCAGTTGTTATTCCATGTAAAAAATATTTGCAAATTCTGACAATCAGATTTCTAATGTAATTCTTACACCATCACAGCATAAGTAAATAAAATTGTACGTGCACCATAACTAAGCCCAAGTACATTTCTGCTTCATAAATTTCTTAATCTGATAAGAACAGTTTGTGCCATGATGTTGTGCTCCAACAAAATTGGTATTCATATTGTTACCATCTAATCTTTTGTATAAAATGTGTATGTTATAATATTTAAAAGCTATGTTACCACTGCAAATTTCAAATACTTAAATATCTAGTCCTCAGATTCTTGTGATATGTGATATGAAAATATACACATAACCACAACTTTAGGCTATTCAGTAAAATAGCAGAATGATAAGACTACATAATTTATGAAATGGAGCTAAAGTATGCAAGGGCAAATTTATAGCCTTAAATTATTTCATCTGTGAACAAGGGGAAAAAAAGAAATTAAGGCTTTTAACCTTAAAAAAAGAAAAAAGAACAAATAAAATTAAGGAAAACAGGTGAAATAATAAGTGAAACAGAGCAGATAATAATTTAATAGAATTGAATAGAAAGCCCAGAAATAAACCAGAGTAGGTATACATGTGTGTGCATACACAGTATTACGGGAGTAGTTGATTCAACGGTCCTAAGTATAAAAGCACTGGGAAAAAAAAAAAAACACAAAGGAAAATATGCATAAATTTGACTGCATAAAAATTAAATATTGCTCTACTATCAAAAAATGATAAATAAGAAAGGTCAACTATGAAATAAATATTTCAAAAATGTCTATTTTAATATTTTAAAATTATAAAAATCTATTCAAAACCAAAATAAAAATCTTTAGTTCTCCAAAAGATAAATGAGCAAAGGATATGAGGAGTGAATTCACAAAACAAAAGAAAGCAAAATTATTAGAAGTTACAGTATTTAAGGCTGGAAGGATGCTCTGAACCTAGGACTTTCATCTATTGCTGTTGGGAGTGTAAATTTGTATAATCTATCTGGAAAGTAGCATAGGTGTATATTTCATCTTAAATTTGTTCATATTATTTTACATAGAAATTCCACTTTCAAGGATCTAAGCTGAGAAAAAAGGAGATACAAATATTTGTATATAAGGATGTTAATCATATTATTATTTACAAAAGAAAAATATTGGAAGCCACATCTATGTGCAACAACAAAGAATGCCTATGTCATCTAAGAAAATATTGGTATTTGTGGCAGTAGGATTGAATACCATTTGGTCATGCTATTTCTGTAGAACATTTCAAAGTAAAAATAGTTTTCATTTATTGAGCACCTACCATGCACAAGGCAATGCACTAAAGAGCTTTACAAGTGATTTCCACACTTTGATTGATTTCCATGCTTTTAACACTAACAACATTTACATGATCTCTAAAGAATTATTATGATTTACATTTGACAGAAGAGAAAATTGAAGTCTAGACAGATTTCCTGAAATGATTAAAGTCTTTTAGGCACTATATTGCAGAGCTAAGATTTGAATCCCAGTCTGACTCCAAAGGTCCACTTCCCACTTTCAGCTATTCTACAGCACTGCTTTCATAGCATGGGAAAAATCTCAAGATACTATGTAATAGTTCGTGTGTGTTGGGGGGTAGGGAGGTGGGAGCTGGATTTAAAGGCTATATAAATTATGCGTGTTACCATCACAAAGTTTCTTGAACAGTTCCTGGTAGTCAGCACTGGAGTATGGGAATGGACATGAAGTGTTGGGGGTGAAGTGGAATGCACTGTCTCTATACTTTCTTTTCTTACTAAGAATAATTTAAACTTCTGTAGACACTATGACTCCAGTTCTGTTTTTTTTTTTTTAACATTCATACCAATACTTGCCTGGGGGGAGGGGGGAACCACTGGAAATAATTTTATCAGTTATTTTAGTGATCTCAATACTTATTGCTGAGAAGTAGAATTATTGTTGATTTATTTTTCATACATTTCTATATTTTCAAATTATCTATTATAAGCATTTATTATTTTCTGATTGTAAAATGCTATAGTTGAAAAAAACTGACAATAAACATTAAAGCCATTTACGTGAGTTAGCTTACTGATAAACAGTGCAATGTTATGATAATGCTAGGCTACTCAGAAAGTGGATTTGGCCACAACCAACTTTTTAAACCTCTTCATCGCTCCTCCTCACATCCATGGCTGGTGAAAAAGCAAATTAATACCACTTTTTTGGAAACAATTGGCAGTATATACCTTTAAAGTCCCAAAATTATTTTAAAAGGCTTAAGTCCTTGCAAAACAAAGAATGTCACACACCATTCACTTCTACAAGGATCAAGTCATTAGCCACTGTAGTCACTGACCAGCAGTACACCCTGAAAGGAATTAAAGAGGAAGAACAGGATGAGGCACTCTGTGCTTTGGCAAAACGGGTCCTCTAGATAATTAGATATCTCAGGAAGAATTTTAATGAAACCAAAATCTTGCATCTTCCCTTACATGAAAAAAAAAAAAAAGGCACTAAAATCATTAACTGAGATACTTGTTCCTCCTGGCTAGCAATAACCTTTTATTGAGATGTGTGCTTGACTGCATGTATTCCCTATCCAAAATCATACACACACACACAGACATACACACACATACACACACACACACACACACACACACACAGGCTCCTCCCCCTACTTCTTCAGAGCAGTTCCTCAGAGCTGCTCTGGGCGTAAGTCCTCTATAATACTCAGAATAAAACTCAACTCACAGCTCTTATGTTGTGGGGTTGTGTTTTGTTTTGTTTTTTCAGTTCATACACCTTACTGCTACTTCTCAAAAATCTAAAATAAGAAAAACAGCATACAATAAGTTTATCACTGAAGCTTATTGTATAATAAAGTTGGTGAGATTAAATGAAGAATGGTTATAGTGAATTTATTCATCAGAAATCTACCTCATCATTCATAATGTGATTATGAAACAAAACAGAAAAATACTCCATAGGTAAAATAAAGGAGAATACAACATTGTATATATCTATGTTAGAATGACTACATAGAAATTTAATACTTCTAGGTATGGAGGAACGAATATGGAAAATGAAAAGTCTTCTTCATTGGGGTGGGAGGACTGAACTCATTTCTCATGAACAGACTTGGGATCGTTAGAAATATTGTATAGCTTTTTACTTCTACTTGACAAATACTGATATTCCCATTTTGTTCAGTATACCTGTTATCAAGAAGCATTTGCTTTTATTTCAAACACACCAAGTCTGGTAAACATACAAGTTGGAACTAGGGTTGTTTGCGTGTGCCCATTAATGTATCACTACACTTTTTAAGATGCTCTTGATAGAATCTTACCAGATGATCCAGGATTGGAGAATTCAGCATCGCAAAATGATTAAATGGAAGCTAACACGAAACAATAACAATTACCCCAGCGTCTTAGAGCAATAGTGACCACTTTAGCGCTGTAATTGAGCAACATTTCTCCTTGATATTCTAATTTTCAAGTGCTTTGTATTTTCAATGTGATTTGACCTCAATTACTTCGTTACCGAAACTGCTCCCGATGCCTACACTTCTTCAATGCTTCTGAGATCAGGCCAGTGGAGGCACAGAGGGAGATTCGTCCACCATCCCCCTCATCATTTATTAAGCAACCACGTTCCAGGAAGAGGATTCGGAAATACTGAACGACTCTACAATCACTCTCAGGCAGCTTAGGAGCAAACATATCGACCAGGCTTTTACGGGTAATTTCAGTCTCGAAAGGAAGCAGGATGACTGGCTACGGGGGCCGAGAGGGCGGGGCGGTCCGTTCGCTGTGCGAGATACCCGCAGCCAATGAGTGAGGAGATCCGGAGAGAGCGCATCAGTGCCCCGGATGCCTACATTTCCAGCCTTTAAGGTTTCTCTCCGGCAAATATCTTGGCTGCATCTCCGACCCCGGCCCCCTACCCATCGTAGTCCCACCTAAAGGGGCCCCCGCCTGTGGCCGGCCGCCGCGCTTCCTCCGCCTCTTCCCATCGCCTGTGCGCCTGCGCGACCGGAAAATTCGCGAAGGTTCGTGAAGCGGAACTGGCCGTTTCCGGAAGCCGGCAGCCGCCCCAGTCTGCAGACGGGTGGTTGCGACAGGGGAGTTGTAAAGGCAGTGTCTGGCGGTTCTGGGCGTTTGACCCTGACCCGGAGCGGTGGGAAGAGAAAATGGCCCTGCTGTGCTACAACCGAGGCTGCGGCCAGCGCTTCGATCCCGAGACCAATTCCGATGGTAAGGAAAGCGCGCCGCCGGCCCTCCCTCCCTTCCACCTCCTCCCGTGGACGCCCTTGGGCCGGAGGGCATCCCGGGTCTCCGCGCAAGCCGGCACCGCGCTGCCCCCCGCCCCGGGCCTCCCCTCCCGCCTGACCGCCCACGGGCGCGGGACCGCTCTGGGGGCGCCCAGGCAACGACGTCTGAACCCCTCCCGCTGCAGCTTCCGGACCCACGGACCCACTACCCCTCGGGCGCACGTGTTTGCCTAAGTCGTCCGCTCACTCTCTAATTAGCCTGGAATTTAGAGCATGTTTATCCTCGCCCCCCCCCCCCCCCCCGGCCCCTCTTAAAGGAATCAAAAGTTAACCAGCTCTGGGCTCGCTTTGCGGTTGATTTGCTGGGTCCGTGTGTCAGAGACAGACCGACATTGCCTGGAAGGCCTTATCCTAGCGTTAACCCGGGCGGGTTATCCTAGCGTTTAAGTTCGGCCTCTTTCTATTAGTATAGAAGTGTATTTGTCTGAAAGCCTGCTGTCGATTTATTCATTCGACCCACTCGTTTTAAGCTTACTCTTTAAAACGTTCTTGGTTAAGAAAATTATTTTGTATTTTTACGCTGTTAAGTTTTGATACATCCGCCCAAATGGGAGATACATTCCTCATCCTTTACTTTGTAGCCATGTTTGTTGGGTATTTTTGCAGTGGTCTTTCCATTTAGTACCATGCGGTCTATAGGATACAGTGATTGAATGTCCTCTATGGCACCCAGGTGTAGAGTTAAGGATGTAAGGTGAAAGTTAGTGATTAGACTAGGTGAAGAATAGAACCTGACCAGTGGATTTGAATTTTGATAGGTGAATGGGATAAAGAAGTGAGTTGAATCCTTGAAAGTTGTAAGCATTGTAACACTTTCTCAATTCGACTAGCATTTATTGTATGTTTTCTATATGCCAGACATTGGTCTATCACTTTATTATGTTATTTCATTTAACCTTGACAGCAACTCTGTGAAGTGTGTAGTGTTACACGCATTTAATAGAGAAGCACAGTTCAGCATGGTAGCAACATGGTTCTTCATTGTGTACAAGATTAAAATAGATACTTAAAAAATCTTTTTCACCTCTTGAGATGTCTCAGTGTTTATCTTGGTGCACAGGTGAATTGGGGACATAATTTAAAATGATAAGATCTTTGGTAGGATTCTGAGGAAAAAGATAAGTTTAATCGTTTTTATGATATTAATATGAAGTTCAGGTAGAAAATTGTGAGACTTAAGTGGCTGAAAACATCGAGGAATGAGGGGTTTCAAAGCCCTTAACTGTTGGTAGCCTGCGTAAAAAGTAAATTGCTTTAGTGTCTGTACACATTTTACTTTAATATTGAAGGGAAGACTGATGCTTTGTTGAATGGGACAATATGTTTATTTATAGGGTGTTATGTACCAGCCTAATTTTAAGGGGAGGTACAGCCAATTTTTTGGAAGTCAGCTTTGTGTGAAATGGTACAGTGCCCAGGAAAGAGATGGGGGAAGCCAGAAAAATCAGAGGAGTAGACAGTCTCAAGCATTGAGCGTCAACCGTATTAAATTCAGCAGAGTTCCATTAAGGTTGCTTAAAGTTTATCCGCTTTAGCAAAATTGGGGTTATATTAGAGACTTAGAATAAATACTCCAAGTAACTGGTTGATGGAAAATGGGACTAGGGAGTAAGGACAAGAGCTAATAGAAAACTGTGGACTTGATTAGGAGAAAGTTTTATAGGATGGGAGAGGTTTGACCTTGTGTATTGACTAAAATAAGAAGACTCCTTTCTAAGATGATAGGACATTTTCATTTGAAACAAAAGTTAAATGAGTGTTTTAAAGAGACATGGTAACTTGCGTATGTTAAAAACAGCTATTCTGGAAGAAACACCTCTTCACAAACAATATTTTATTCAATCCACACGTGTGAGGAAACTGAAACAGCTGCAAGAGGCAGAGGCAGAATTTGAGCCAGTGTCGGACTCAGTGTTAAAAGCCCTTGGCTCTTAATCGCTACTGTGTTGTAGCTTCTTGCCCATAATATTACTTTGGGCAAAACTGGCAAACCTGATTTAAAAAGAAAAGAAACACTAAAGATGAAAATGTCCATCTGCTTGTTATTTAGCAGTGATTTTCAAATTTTGTTTATACTAGTTGTATGGTTAAGACCTGACTCACTCCTGCTGCCATTCTGCCAGAACTGTCCATTATTATGATCATGCCTCTTAGTGTGTCAGACATGTGTTTTATGCCTCTGACTGTATGTAAATTTGATATTTGAAAATATTCTACCTGTTCTCTACTTTGATTCCCCTCTCAACTTCATATTCCTCTGCATATTCATTTTTACTTTGAATCTCCTTTTTCAGCCCTCAGCCCCACTACTACCCTTAATTAATAGCATCTTCCTAAACTGGGCTTACTTACTGTACCATGAAAATACCTGACACTTTAATTGCTTCATTAGCTAGAATGGTCTCTAGGTAGTAACGAAGGAAAACATACTGACTTAATACAGTGATAGGGAGAAAAGTACCAGAAATTAATCATTTTGCGACACCAGGAATCAGAGGTTGTAGACAATTGAGAGCTAAACAGACGTGAAAGTCTGAGCAAAGTAACCTTATAAGAAAATTGCACAGGTGTGGAGCTGACCTGCTTTTTCTGAGCTCATGGTGCTATCTAGCTAGGGAATGTGTGTCTATTATCTGTTGTTTTGTTTTTTTAAATGTAATTCTATATATTGCAGACTATAATAAGTCCATTTTCATAAGAGTTAAGTAAAACTTGGTGGTATAATGGGGAAGGGGTAGGGAAATAATAGACTAACAATCATTGACAAGCCTGAAAATAGATTGTAGAATTTAAACTTCTTTTTAATGAGGTTTATATCTAGGAATTGACACCTGTGTAGGAAAATTAAATTAGCAATTAGATATTGTATCAGTTTTTTAAAATTTGAACCTTTTCTTCCAAAATATCTTTTTAGGTAATCCCTTGGGCAACCTTTATGGATCGATGCACATAAGAACATTTAAATTTGATAGTATTTTTGTAAAAACCGAATATGATGGTCAAAATTTAGAGCTGGAAGTTCGGGTACTAAAAAATTTTACAACGAAGATTAGAGGAAAACAAAATATAATTTGTTATACTTGAACTATTTGTGTTTTTATTTATAGCTTTCTTACGCAAATGAGAATTTTAACCTTTACTATTTTAATACAATGTTATATTAAGCACTGTGTGTCATGCATCAAATTCGAGCATTACTGAATTTTTAAGGAAAAGAAGAGTATTACCTGCATATGGAAAAAGGATTATATGTTAACACTGAAGGAAATGATGATTTTTCTTCATTATAAAGTTTTTTTTTTTCTTTTGTTTTTGACCAGACGCTTGTACATACCACCCAGGCGTTCCAGTCTTTCATGATGCATTAAAGGTAGGAACTTGATACATTTCAGTCTTTTCACATTTGTATAGTAAACTCAGAGGTATAATACTAAATCTTGAATTTCTCATTTTTTTTTCCTCAGCTTGTGACTCTCTGCTTTCTTAATGACCATTTTGGGGTGCTTTGAGCAAGTGCTCCACTAAAGGCAAAGAGGACAGTAGATGGTGATCTTAAGGGCTTTTCCAGTTATAAAATCGTTACTTTTATCCCAGTTCTCACTTTCAGTGCCCCTCATTTCTTCACTTTGAGGGGAAATGAAAGCAATTGTAGAAGCCATAACACTTCTTAATCTTTCAATATATCAGGCAGGTGCTGTTTAATAAGAGCAGCTCTGAATTTTAGGGAACATTATTATAAATACTAAACAGTGCCACTCTTGGGACAGACATGAAAGTTAGAGTAATACTGTACAGAAAAGAGATGCCACCTGTTTTCCTTGATGTTCTGTAGATTTAGAGAAATAATAGAATATTGTTTGATCAGGTTTTTTTGTGTTGGGTTTATTGATCTTTTAAAATTGATGATAATGTGGTACATTTTCCCTTGTATATCTCAAAAGAAACTGTTGCAGTGTGGCTGCCATGGTTTTAGGTATTCTTAGGAACATAAACAGTCCTATGTGTTTATATATTATCGATGCCCTTAGAATTTCTAATTTTACCGTTCAGGGAGTAGTTGGACCTTACTGGTTTTTAACTGTTAGCTACATATAAACAATGGTACAAGCAGATAGCAAGTTTATGTTAATATGGTTAGTTCTGAGTGAGAAAAACAGAACAAACGTTCAGTAGGGCAAATTATGATCTGACTCTTCCTTACATCTTTTTAGCCTCTTTAGAAGCTTTTATGGGGATGGAAACTGTGGCTCTGTGGGAATACTTATTTTTGCTGGGGGTGAGGGGATTTTATCTTTCCTAAATTGCCATTTATTCTGTGTTTGCTTTTCTTGTTTTACTTTGTTTTCCTGTGATGTTTTCCTCCTGTCTCCTAACCATGGGCATACTTCACTTCTCAGATTTGGCTTCCTGTTTTCTCTCATTCAGCTCATTCATTCTTGTCCTTAATTTATTCTTGTCACCTCTATGCCAGTGACTTATACAACATATTTTCATTTATCTGTGTCATTGGCAAGCACAGACGAGTTCTGAAGTGACCCCTTATTCCAAAAATAGCCTGCCTTTCAAGTTTGCTGCTGCTAGTAATGATATCACTAACTTTCTAGTCATTTAGTCCGTTGCTCCTCTTTTTACTACCCAACTGTTAATTACACTGATTAATTAAACTTACTGATTTTACTTTGAAGTGTTTTTGTTTCTCTACTCCGATTCTACTGTTTATTATTGTCTCTATAAACATATGAAGACTTAGATTTTCCAAGCCTACTGAATTCCACAGCCCTGTAGATTTCAGGCAAAATACATAAATCAGTATGGTGTCTACTGTTGTCAGTTTTCTATTTAATCAAGTGAGAAGTTAAACATTGCATTAACAGAAAAAAAAAACATTTTAATATTTAAATTAGAAAAGGCATATTCAGGGAAAAGAGCAGTCCTTAAGAAAAGACAGTTTGCAACCTTATGCTTACATACTTTAATTACCTTTTCACATTTTACTGAGGACTACCATAGATCTCAGATCGGCAGTTGGGAACAATCTATGTCATGTATGTATCCCAATATTCCCAGAATACCTAATTCTTCATATAGAATTGAGACAGTAAAACTTTTTTCATATAGAATAACTTTACTGGTGACAATATTATCTATATTAGTTAAACCTTATATTTAATTTTGTAATAATTAGTAATTTTTGATCTATATTTCAGTTCAGAGTAAAAGAAAATTAAATTTCAGAATAAAGGAAAATATGAATTGTAGAATATTTAACATTTTCCTTTTAAAAAACTTCAAGGGCATATTGTGAAAAAAGTCACTACCAAATTCTTCATGCATACATTGAGAAAAACAGTGAGGCCCAGGTGGATATGTGCAAAGCTGACTCTTAGTCCGAATTTGAGACATCCCAAGCTTTGAGACTGCTGCATTTTTATTTCCTTATTCTTTGTACTACATTGGAATTATAGGTGATAACTTAAAACCATTTATTGTTTAGCTGCTTGATACTTCGTTCAGAAATCTCATACGGCATTACAGTTTCTGTATTTGTATGCTTCTAGCTGAAAAGATCATTTAACCTTGAAAGATCTAACAGTGCTTAAGCTACTACATGAATTAATGTTTTTCTGAAAATAGAATGCTTATTGTTGAGGAACAACTATGCTGAGTTTGTTTAGAAACTGAATTATTATAACTATTATCTCTCGCTTAATGGATTTTTAAAGTAAAGCACTTCACTTACTCCCTAGATCCTTTAAAATAGTTTTTAGAAATTATAGATTGCTTTTCTTCTAAAAATCAAGTACTATTCTTGAAAACGAGCAATTTCTGTTTCCATATTTCAAGGTGCTTCCTTTCATGATGGGTCACAGCACAAATCACTTTTAATATTGGTTAATTCACTTTTTAAGTCAAAAACTGATCATTTCACTTGATTAGGTGAATTATTTATAACACTTAAAAACTATAAAACTATGTTGTGTATACAGGTTACTTCGGGATTCAAGGAGATAAATCCAAATAGTGTTTTAGTGGGTTGTGGTTCTCATACAAATAGGGTTTTCATTTTTTTTTCCCTCTTATGTCTCTTAGGGTTGGTCTTGCTGTAAGAGAAGAACAACTGATTTTTCTGATTTTTTAAGCATTGCAGTAAGTATTAATGGGTTTCTTTTCCCCTAGATTATCTCCCAAAAAGTACATATTATGGGGAGCTCCAGAGTTGAGGAGTCTGATTTTGGACATCTATTGACTAGTCCCTGTTAACTCACAGATAGTACCTTTCTTTTACTCACCTCCCTTCTATGGCATTTAAAATAAGGAATTTATCTGTTTTTGAGATTAAAGTTTCAAGATATTAATTAACCACTTGTCAGTTTAGAGTTTTTTGTTTGTTTGTTTGTTTCTTTTTGCGGTACGCGGGCCTCTCACTGTTGTGGCCTCTCCCGTTGCGGAGCGCAGGCTCAGCGGCCACGGCTCACGGGCCCAGCTGCTCCACGCCACGTGGGATCCTCCTGGACCGGGGCACGAACCCACGTCCCGTGCATCGGCAGGCAGACCCCCAACCACTGTGCCACCAGGGAAGCCCTAGGTTTATTTTTGATAGCAACCTTTTTTTTTTTTTAATTTCTAGTGTACTTTGTTCCTTTATATACATCAAAATGACAGCCTAGAATTTTTTCTTACAGCTTATTATTTTTCCTCTAGCTTTTTATTTATTTATTTTTATTGAAGTATAGTTGATTTACAATGTTGTGTTAGTTTCAGATGTACAGCAGTGACTCAGTTATATATATACCTATTCTTTTTCAGATTCTTTTCCATTATAGGTTATTACAAGATATTATAGTTCTCTGTGCTATACAGTAGGTTCTTGTTGTTTGATGTTAGTAGTCTTAAAAGACCATCAAAAAGAAGGAACGCAACAATCTAAAGCATTTTCAGTTAGGAACAGTAAATTTTTATCATATCTAAGATACCATAGAGATGCATTGTTATTTTGTGTACCCTTAAGAAAGAAATCTAAAGTTGTTAATTAAATGATGTACGATTTACCTTATGATTTCAGGGATGTTAAAATGTATGTATAACTCAATGGAATATAGAAAAGGTAGCTAGCATTTATTGAATGTTTACCACCTGCCAGATATGGGAAGTATTCTATTGTTTTATTTAATCCTCTCAAAAAAGATCTGAATGCCATTGCCTCCATTTTACTGATGAGGAAACTGACTTTAGAAAGCCATAATTCAAAAAGACACATGTACCCCAGTGTTCCTTGCAGCACTATGTACAATAGCCAGGACATGGAAGCAACCTAAATGTCCATCAACAGAGGAATGGATAAAGAAGATGTGGTACATATATACAATGGAATATTACTCAGCCATAAAAAGGAACAAAATTGGGTCATTTGTAGAGACATGGATAGACTTAGAGACTGTCATACAGAGTGAAGTAAGAAAAACAAATATCATATATTAATGCATATATGTGGAATCTCAAAAAATTGATATAGATGATTTTATTTACAAAGCAGAAATAGACACACAAACATAGAGAACAAACGAATGGTTACCAAGGGGGAAAGAGGGGGGATGGGATGAATTGGGAGATTGGGATTGACATATATACACTATTGATACTATGTATAAAATAGATAACTAATGAGAACCTGTATATCACAGGGAACTCTATTCAGTGCTCTGTGGTGACCTAAATGAGAAGGAAATTCAAAAAAGAGGGATTATATGTCTATGTATAGCTGACTTACTTTGCTGTACAGTGTAAACTAATACAGTATTGTAAAGCAACTATACTCCAATTAAAAAATAAGTAATTAAAAATAATTTTTAAAATAATAAAGTCATAAAGTTTTTGGAGCCATGTATGTCTCTCTCTATATATGAACTCTTTTGGAATTTGAGATCTGTTGAAATCAACTACCCTTGTTGTTAATAGAAGTAAAACATTTAAACTTAATTTCTCTGTAAAATGTTTATGCCTTATTCTCTGTGATTTAGAAAGAAAGAAAGTTTTAACTGGTGGTTTAAAAAAAAAAAAAAGATTAACTAACTTGCTCGAGGTTATATAGGTAGGTAGTAGGAGAACTGAGACTCAAATTGGGGCCCTTTTATATAAATAACTTTTAGAATTCTCTGTGTGAGATCTCCAGAATTTGTTTTCTGTAAACAAGTTTATGCTGCACCTTTATAGAATAAGTATAGTAGATATTTATTAAGTGTAATTTAAAGGCCTGGGTTTTTTTGTTGTTGTTGTTGTTTTTTGGCGGTATGCGGGCCTCTCACTGCTGTAGCCTCTTCCGTTGCGGAGCACAGGCTCCGGACGCGCAGGCCCAGTAGCCATGGCTCACGGACCCAGCTGCTCCGCGGCATGTGGGATCTTCCCAGACCGGGGCACGAACCCGTGTCCCCTGCATCGGCAGGCGGACTCTCAACCACTGCGCCACCAGGGAAGCCCTAAAGGCCTGTTTTTAATGCATTATTCGCATGTAAGAACTCATTTACAAATATATTAAGTTTAGAGTTCTATTTTTAGTTTCTTAAAATAAGTCAGTGTGTTAAAAGTGGAGAAAACATGCCCTTGAATTTATTAATAAAGAATTGAACAATAGTATTTCTGTCATGGCATGTGAAGTAGATGATAGGCTAACTCTCAGTGAATGAATACCTCTCACCAACAGGGCTGTACGAAAGGAAGGCATAATAGTGAGAAGCCACCCGAGCCAGTCAAACCTGAAGTCAAGACTACTGAGAAGAAAGAACTATCTGAATTGAAACCCAAATTTCAGGAGCATATCATTCAAGCCCCTAAACCAATAGAAGCAATAAAAAGGCCAAGGTATACTTTATACAGTTGTATACTTTTGTCGCACTTGAATAATAGCATTTGTTCCTGGTATTTCCTCTTCTGATTTTGCGTAATATCATTTGCAGCTACTGTGTAGCTCACCCACTTTTGAACCATTTGGTTTTCTCTTAGATAATGCCTTTCATTTCTATTCCCTTGAGGGCATATACACAGTAGAACTGCAGTACAGATTTGTTCACTGTGTACTCAGTTATGCTAAGGGCGGGGGAGCCACACATCTTTCTTGTGCCTTGGTGTGTATCCTTTTCACGGTGGCATAGTGGAGTTCTGTAAAAGAATCGGCCTTGTCAGGGAATCAGTTTGAGTTGAAAAAGAACTTAGAGGCTTTCCTTTCCAATCTACCACTGTTTCTTAAATAATTTCTAGAACATTCTTGATAGAAAAATATTTAATTTCCTTTCAAATAATTCTATTGAAGAAGAATTTACTTCTATTTTAAAGCAATTCATTTTAATGTTACTAACTCAGTATTTAACTTTTCCTTGTATTGAGTCAAATTCTGTTTCTTTCATTTGTCCATATTTTGCCACTTAGAACAAGCCTAGTCACTCATCTTTTAACAGTTTGCCTAAAAACTGTTAGTCTCATTACTGATCAATTTTTAATGTATTCAATTTACATGGCATATTTGTTAAAGTACTTTTAAAATAGCTTTTGGTCATTTTGCAGTAGAATTACACAGGTACTTCATACTCACCTCCTGATCCACTAGAGACTATTTTACAATCCCACACATGCATGTTGGGTACACCAGGTCGTCTTCATATTGCACTTGAGTATTGAATTGTTTTAGAACCAAAATACAGGACTTAAAAAAACAGATGGTTTTTGGCCTCACACATGGCCTTTGTTGATATTTTTATTCACACTGTGGACTCATGATTTTCCCAGCTTTTGCTTTATTGATCTTATGTAAATAAATTTATAGCATCTTGAATTATACCCGACCAAGATAAGAACCCAAAGAGACTTTCTCATGTTTATTTTGTCTTTTAAACCAAACTATTTAGGATGATTTTATTCTATATCCAGCTTATTCATACCATGAGAAATTTTATCAAATGCCTTACAGGCTGATTTGCCAGTGGGAAAAAAAATGTCAGAAAAAGCCAAGAATTTTGGCATGGCTCATTATTAAATATTATAGTGGAGTCTACTATAATTGACAGGATGAGTTAATTTTTTTTTAAATTATGGGCTACTAATTTCACTTAAGAGAAAGTGAGAGAGATTAAATATTTTATCGTAAATTCATTAGATAGTATTGTAGAGACAGAGGATATAGGTTTTTGTGTACTTTGTTAGTGCCTCCTATATCAGTAGGTTTTTCATTAAGGATGTAGAATGAATAACCTAGGATTTTCAGTTTTATTGTTACATTTATTAATATTCTTAATACATATTGAGTGCCTTAACCAGATTGTACATATAACACTAAACCATTGTGAAATGTTAGGGGACATTGTTGTTACTGTTTTTTTAACCCTACTAAAACTGCCTTGTGATATAACCGTATCTGAATTTATAGATGCATATACTAGTGTCCACATAAAGTGAACTACCTCTATCAGTAGGGATATGGATTCACTTAGTACCTGTTTATTGCCTATTACATGCTCAGTGTTTTGCTTAGGCATGGAATGTAAAGGTACTTCTCAGTCCCTTCCTTGGAGTTGCTCATCTTAACAAATTTGTATTCTTACTCTTTACTTCCTTCCCATTAGCCCTACTGATTAATAATTTAATGTGTTGACAATAGCATGATTATTTGATATTTAATATCAGAACTTTTTCTGCTAAGACTTAGAAATGTAGCTGTATTAATAGCAGTTATTGTGTAAAATACTTTTTAAAGAGAAAACCTTGATTGACAAGGCATTTGGCGTATCGTAAGTAGAGCCTTAAGTATATTTTTAGTACAAAGAAATATTTTGGTACATCAGTAATGGTAATAAAGTTTCCAAATTCTCCAGCCCAGATGAACCAATGACAAATTTGGAATTAAAAATATCTGCCTCCCTAAAACAAGCACTTGATAAACTTAAACTATCATCGGGGAATGAAGAAAATAAGAAAGGTAAGATTTTGTTTTGTATTTTGTAATTTTTTCTGTTCAATTAACCAATTATCTAAAAGAGATAGGAGCAGTGTAGTTTACTGTATGTAAATGCGAAAAAGTAGTACATTGTAGCATATTTGTAGAGACGTGGATGGACCTAGAGACTGTCATACAGAGTGAAGTAAGTCAGAAAGAGAAAAACAAATATCGTATATTAACGCGTATATTTGGAATCTAGAAAAATGGTGCAGATGAACCTATTTGCAGAGTGGGAATAGAGATGCAGACGTAGGGAATGGACGTGTAGACTCAGACGGAGATGGGGGATGAATTGGGAGATTGAGATTGACATATGTCCACTGCCATGTGTAAAACAGATAGCTAGTGGGAACCTGCTGTATAGCGTAGGGAGCTCAGCTTGGTGCTCTGTGGTGACCTAGATAGATAGGATTGAGGGGGGTGGGAGGGAGGTCCAAGAGGGAGGGGATATATGTATACATACAGCTGGTTCTCTTCATTGTACAACGGAAACTAACACAATATTGTAAAGGAGTTATACCCCAATTAAAAAAAAAAAAGGAGTACGTTGTAGTAAAGAACTTATTTTTGATTTTTGTTTACTGAATGCTGGTAAAACCACAAAATGAATATGTGGATTATTCCATTTTGTCTTTAATAAAAATGAGAACCTGTTAATTAAAAATTTTTTCTTCTATTACTCATTACTTTTTAACAGTGAGTTAAAATTTTTTGATAGTTGTAAATGTTTCATTGTGCGTGATATAAAATATATTCAGTATTCTCTGACCTACACCTGGTATCTGGGGAAAAAACCCTTTCATGATTTCTCTTTTACGTAAGGTTAAGTTATTGGATATAGTCTTGCATTGTAGAATAGAAATGTGTCATGTCATATATCAGTTTGGGGATATAGGCAAGACTTACTCATGGTAGTTGGTTTCTTATTAGCTTTTAAGTGTATTACATGAAAGGTCACACAGAAAACTTAGTTATCCAAAATCATTTTAAAAATCAGGTTTTTTTGTATTTAGATTATTTTATTAAATACTTGTGTTATGGAATAGTTTACTTTTTAAGAATAACACTACGGTCAACTTCTATTTTAATGTTTCTATTTTGGTTTTTTTCTTTGTTGTAGAAGAAGACAGTGATGAAATTAAGATTGGAACCTCATGTAAAAATGGAGGGTGTTCAAAGGTATATACTGTAAAATTTGTTTGTGTCATGGAAGTAAATTTTTACTTATGAGAAAAGAGAGTAATTGACTTAATTAGACAAACATTTGGGTGTCTTTTATGTGTTGGGCACTATTCCATGGAGCAGGGCTATTAACATGGATAAGAGACTGTCTCTAAGGAGCACCGTGTCTAATAGATCATGGGAATAAATAGTTCTAATTCAGTCAGCATTTACTGAACACTTACTATGTGCCAGACATTGTTTTAGGGGCTGGGAATATAGTATTAAATAAAGCAAAATCTCTGTTCTTATGGAGCTGATATTCTAATTTTGGGGGAAGGATAACAAGTTTTTAAATGCTGTGAATTTAGGTAGACTTGAAGAAAATTAAGCAGACAAGGAGATAGAGTAAAAGTATTTAAGTGCACTTGTCAGGGAAGTCCTTTCTGATATGGTGACACTAAATCAGAATTCTGAAGAATGTAGCAGATGAGTTATGTAAACCGTGGAGTAGATGTGGGAGTAGTATGTGTAGAGGCATTAGAACTTGGCTACTCGAGAAATCATGAGAAAGGTCAGTGGGGGCTTGATAAGCGTGCGGAAGTAGGGAGTATGAGAGGCAGGCAAGATTATGGAGGTCCGTCCTTATAAGCTACAGTGAGGGGTTTGGGCTTTATTCTAAGTGTAATAGGAAGCCATTGTCTGTTTAAGGAGGGGCTTTGAAAAAGATGTCTTTGGCTGATAAGTGGCAAATTTAATGGGGCAGGAGTGGAATCGGGAAGGAAAACCAGCTAGGGTGCTACTCTGGAGACCAGGCATTAGGATATGTTTTTGAGAAGTGGTTAAATGTAGGATGTATTCAGGCATCTCAGTGAGGCTTCTTTCTGCCTACTCAATATAATATTACACACCCTCCAACATTCCATACTCTCCTTTTTTCTCCACAGCACTTACCACCTTATTACACACTACTTGTTTTACATATTTATTTTGCTTATGCTCTATCCCATCTAACTTTCCCTTCCCTTCCCCTTTTGAACTAAGGTTTAAAAGGAAAGAATGTTATTTGTTTTCTCTTTGCTGTGTCTTGAGTGCTTAGAACAATGCCTGGCACATGACAAACACGTGTGGAATGGATGATATTTGGAAGTATTAGCAGGACTTGCTAATAAACTGGAAGTGAAGCATCTAGGTCAGCGGTTCCCAACCTTTTTGGCACCCGGGACTGGTTTCGTGGAAGACAGTTTTTCCACGGACCGGAGTGGAGGCAGGGGGGATGGTTCATGAAGCGATGGGGAAGCGGCACATGAAGCTCCGCTCACTTCCTGCTGTGCGGCCCGGTTCCTAACAGGCCACAGGCTGCTACCAGTCCGAGTCCTGGGGATTGGGGACCCCTGATCTAGGTGATTTGTGCACCATTAACTGAGAAGGAGAAAATGGAGTTAGGGTTGGGGGCAGGTTTGCAATCTTCCTTCATGTTAAATTTGACGTCACCTTGCTCATTTAGAGATGGAAATATGAATGCATTCACATGTGTATAAGGTAGAAGTAGTAAATAAAAGAGAATGATTAATTCTTGGGGTGAGGGAGATATCGTGCAAGTGGTAGGGTAATGGAGGAAGATCAGAGCAAAGGTATCCTAGATGAACTTTGAGAAGTGAATGGCAGTTCTATAAATGGACAAAAAGGGAAAGGATATCCCAAGCAGAGGTGATAGCAGTAATATACAGAAAACAAAAAATAGTCAATAACAATGGTACAAAATTTGCTGATGTAAAGTTGAGATTAAAAGAGATAAGTAGGGTCTAGATCCTGAAAGGCTTTTATACTGCTCAAAACCTTACTTTAGGTCATGCTGGCCATTGAAGAAATTTTTTTTTAAGTTTTTTCATTGAAATATAACATTAAATATATATAAATATGTTAATTCTATATAAGCATAAGGGATTTTCACAAAGCAGAGCCTTCCTTATGCTTCCTCTCATTCATTATTTCCTCTCCCAAAGGTAACCACTTTTTTCTATCAACATAGATTAGTTTTGCCTACTTCTGAACTTACTGTAAATAGAATCATGGAACAGGTACTCGTGTCTGTCCTCCTTTGCTTAATAAAATGTTGGTTATCTTGGTTTCATGTAGCTGTAATTTGTTCATTTTCATTGCTTTAAAACATGCCATTGTTTGAATGTACCAATTTATCCTTTCTACTGTCCTATAAAGTTTTTTGATTAATGTTACTGTGAACATTTTTGTGCATGACTTTTAGGATACATGTACACATTTCTTTTAAGTATATGACTAGAAATGGTGTTGCTGATTCAGAGTGTGTGTGTGTGTGTGTGTGTGTGTGTGTGTATGTTTAGCTTTAACATACTCGTACATAGTTTTACAAAGTGGTTGTATTTACGCTCTTACCAGCAATATATTAGGCTGGTTCCTTTTGTTCTACACCTTGGTAACACTTTGTAATATCAGTCTTTTATATTTTAGCCATTCTGGTGGATGTGGAATGTTCCCATTGTGGTTTTTTTGTTTTTTGTTTTTGCGGTACACGGGCCTCTCACTGTTGCGGCCTCTCCCGTTGCGGAGCACAGGCTCTGGACACGCAGGCCCAGCGGCCATGGCTCATGGACCCAGCTGCTCCGCGGCATGTGGGATCTTCCCGGACTGGGGCACGAACCCGTGTCCCCTGCATTGGCAGGCGGACTCTCAACCACTGCGCCACCAGGGAAGCCACCCATTGTGGTTTTAGTTTGCACTTTCCTGATAATGATGCTGACTGCCTTTTTGTATGTTTATGGCCATTTGGATATCCTGTTTTGTGACATGTCCAAAATCTTTTTTATCTGTTTTTCTATTAAATTGACATTTTCTTAATGATTTTAGGAATTCTTTATATGTTTTAGCTACAAGTCCTTTGTCCGAGAGGCTATATACCTTTTCACTGTCTTAATGGCTTTAATGGCTTTTGATAAACAGAGTCTCTTCAATTTTAATGAAATTCAACTTGTTCATCTTTTCCTTTATGACTAGGGCTTTCTGTATCCTATTTAAGATATCTGTTTATTTTAGGGCCATGAGTATTTTCTCATATAGAGGCACATTTAAATGTGCAAACGAGCTGGAACTGATTATTGTATATGGTGTGAGGTAGATGTAATTAAAGGACTTTAAACAAGAGAGTGATACGTGTTTTAATTAGGTAGTAGAGTCCAGAAATTGAAGGCAGAGAAATTAATTAGAATCTTTTAGCATAGTTTCATTGCCTAAAATCTGCTAGTGATCATGAGGAAGTTTAGCAAATTAAACTGATAAATATTTTTAAGTCAGATTGACAGGATTTTGTGATAGACTACATGTGGGTAGAGGGTAAAGAGAAACTGAAGAGAACTTACAGAATTTTTGCTTTGAGAGACTGAGTGGATATGGTGCCATCAAATAAGATGGGAAGAAGAGTAGGAGGTTTGGGGGTCAGTAGTGGTGTAAGTTCAGAATCTAACATACTGAGTTTTGTGTGCCTATGGAATATCTTCAGGAGGTACACACACCCGTAATTTGAATTTACAAAAAGTAAATGTACAGAATTCTATTTTCTCTAACTGTAGGGTGGTTGCTGTAAATACCAAAATAGACAGAAAATATACTATTGGCTGCATCTATGTTTTATTAACATAACTTTTTGTGAATTCATCTGTAGAGCCTTCATCTACAGCAGCAATGGGGCCCGGATCTTCCAGACAAACCCTGGATATATATATAGGTCTGCAGCTCATTTTACGCTTCGTAGGAAAAAGAAATCATCATCTGGGACTTCCAGAATTGCTTATAGATTTTCCATTTTAATTCATAATGTTCACACAGAGTTTACTATGCACATAAATCATCCTATAACTGTATTTCTGATGAGAGTACTAATCTCTTGGTTTCAATATTGTTCTGTAAATTTATAGAACATACCTGAATGTGTTTGGGTGTGTCCTCACATGCAAAAGTCTGAAAGTATCTGAATACATCCTTTTGCCTACTTTTCTATTTGCCTTTTTCACAGGGAACTGAAACTTAAGCATATCCAAAAAGGAATCATTTTTCATTCCTTATTGGAATGGCCTGAGGTGAATTTATGAATGTTCTAGGTAATTGTTATCTCTTGGGCATTTTCATAGTTCATAGAGGTCACCAGTACTTGCAAATACATGTGAAATGTAACACTGAGATGTGAAACTAATTTTTTGTCTCTTTTTCTCTTTTAGACATATCAGGGTCCACAGAGTCTAGAAGAAGTCTGTGTATATCATTCTGGAGTACCTATTTTCCATGAAGGGTAACTTATACCAGGCTAATTAAAACTTTATGGTAGATGTTAGAAATGTTAATATGCCTTCAAACATTAAATGCCATGCAGCAATATTAGGTATTTTACTTACATTGTCATATAATTTTTACAATAACCTAGAAATGTGGGTTTTGTCTTCTTTTTACACATGGGAAAACTGAAACAAAATTATAGTGAAGTGGCCGTTGTGATTCAAACCTCATGTTTTTTCTGTATTCCCTTCTATTACAGTGTGATACTTTCTGTTTGAGCTGAACAGGTGTTTTTTGGTTTTTTTTTTTTTTTCTTTGAAGGACTGTGCTGTGCATTGTAGGACATTTGGAATTTTGGGCCCTGGGACACTAACACATCAACACTGTGGCATCTGAGAAAACCCATACTTTCCCACAGCTCTCAGTTGAGAGCCTCTCAATATATTACGCTGTAGTTTATAGAAACGCAGTACTGTATTAAAATCTTCCACTCTGTTTCCATATTCTTCAGGACTCAAACCCAAAGTTTTACTGTAATTTTTGTCTTCCAGTGTTAGATTTTTCTCAAGTAAATAATAGTGGATTTCACCTACTTTGGGCTTGACCATCATAGGTTGTGTAAACAGTTATTTTTAGGTTGTTTGCACGTTCTCACTTTGCTGGTTTATTAAAATACGAACGTATTCTATCTTTGGTCATACCACTTCATGGTAGCTTCATGAGGAAACTGGAGTGTAAACTATCAGTGAAAAGCCGATTTTGGATTTTGTGATGGTTTTAAGCATCTTCACTCAGGAACTCCAAAACTGCTATACTAAATGGCATTCTGGTTTTAACTTTAGTCTTCTGGTAGTTTTTTAAGGTTTTTTTTGGGGGGGAAGGGCGGGGGGTGTTGTTTTGTTTTTTTGTTTTTTGTTTTTAACTTTTGTGTAGTTGCTTTATAATGTTGTGCCAGTTTCTACTGTACAGCAAAGTGAATCAGCCGTACATATACATATATCCCCTCTTTTTTGGATTTCCTTCCTGTTTAGGTCACCACAGAGCATTGAGTAGAGTTCCCTGTGCTATACAGTAGGTTCTCATAGTCTTCTGGCAGTTTTAAATTGTTTAGTAATTTAGACACTTGTAAGATACTAAAGTTACACACTTATTTCTTTTTTGGTTAAGTCACTTATCACTTAACACTTCTGAACTTGATTGTGAGATTTTATTGCTGAAGTTTTTCTATAATAATTTACAGGATGAAATATTGGAGCTGTTGTAGAAGAAAAACTTCTGATTTTAATACATTCTTAGCCCAAGAGGGCTGTACAACAGGGAAACACACGTGGACTAAAAAGGATGCTGTAAGTAGCATTTTAAAAATAGCGTATTGGAGTGTATTTATCTGAGTCATTTTGAAGAGATTGGAGATTATTCTGTCTTTAGATTTAAAAAAACAAGTTTTTCTCTCCGTCACACAGTAAAGTTTGATGAGCCTAAAAACTGAAGTTAATCTGAGTCAAGCTCTCTCAAAGCACTGCTCTTTGATCAAAATAGCCATTATGTATGTTGATGCACATATGTAGGTTTTTGTGAAATAGTTAAGCTAGCCTAAACTGAAGCATGTTTTTCTATAATTCCATACCTTGTTCCCAGTTTTTGTTTTTTAAAAATCACTTTTCTGGTCATTTGATGTTATTAATCATTTAGACTTCTGATTCTCTTTTGGTCACTTAACATCATTCAACCATATACAGATGTACAAATACTCTTAGTGGCCGAAGAGAAGGATTGCACACTTGTTTTATTGGGATTGTTTTGAAAGCCTCTGCTTGCTACCAGGAAATTTATCAAAAGAGAAGAGAAAGCATCAGTACCTACTTCCCTAACAGTATTTTAAAAAGACTTGTGTCTGTGTAAATAATCCCCCAAAATCCCATTAAATTGTAAGAAGGCAAGCAATTATTTGCTAAATAAACGTTTGTTGGCTATTATTAATGTATCTTAAATTAGTTTTATGTGCTGTATTGGCACTAATAACCTCAAGACAATGAACCTTTTCAGTATGTGTGTCTTTATGTTCAGATTACTTTAGGAATTCATTTAGCCTACATTTGCATATTTTATAGTTTCTGCTTTTTAATAACACATGGGTTTAGGTATTATAAATGTATCCATTAAGTTATAATAATTTATCTGCCACAAAACTTCTAGGAATGTTTTATTAGTAAAAAGTGAAATCTCCCTGTATTTTCTCCAAGGTTCAAAAGTTTGAAAGTTTTGGTTTGAAAAAATAAAATGTTTTATGCACAAAAGTTTTCATAGCATGATCCTTGATGAAACACATTTTTTGTTATTTTTTAATGCATGTAGTTATCGAGTATTGAGTGTCTAAGCCAGGTGGCTAAGGGCAAAAAAATGTAAGTCATATAAGTAATTTAAATTCAGTTAGTGTAATTGTACGAATATATAAATACTACTTTTTAAAACAGTAGTGTCTCGCAGTTTCCTGCATTAAATTACCCTCAGTTATAGAACAAATCACAATTTGTCTTTCAGATAGTTACTGTTATAGCAGTGTATCACTCATAGGTAATAATATTTTCATAATAGTAATCAAAAGATTACTTCCACAAATTCTCACCCTTTTTTGCATGTTATTATGAGAGAAAAGTATTCAATAACAACAACAGATAGTTATAACTAATCAATTATTTTTTCCCAAATTTCAGTTTGTAGAAAATAAATGGAAAGTTCTTATGCATGACGTTAAGATGTTGTCTGGTTTATCCTGCTAAGCAAATGTGTTTTTCACTTCAGTCTTCAAAAGTGTGTTCTCAAATCATAAAACTATAAGATTGTTTGTATTTTATTTTATTGGTTTAACTTCTTGATGGGAGCTTTAGAAGTTGTTTGTGCTTAAAAGCATTAAGGGCTCAGTTTTGTGTGGTATTTTTGTTCTCAATTTAGATGGGTCAAATTACTCTTTTTAAGAGGTTAATTATGTGGCACTTTGTAAATTCATAAAGTTTCTCTTACATTACAGGGGAAAAAGGTTGTTCCATGTAGACATGACTGGCATCAGACTGGGGGTGAAGTCACCATTTCAGTATATGCTAAAAATTCACTTCCGGAACTTAGTCAAGTAGTAGCAAATAGTACATTGGTAAGTACACTAAATATCTTTCTTTTTTTGTGGTTTTTTTTTTTTTTTTTTTGCGGTACACGGGCCTCTCACTGCTGTGGCCTCTCCCGTTGCGGAGCACAGGCTCCGGACGCACAGGCTCAGTGGCCATGGCTCATGGGCCCAGCCGCTCTGCGGCATGTGGGATCTTCCCGGACCGGGGCACGAACCCATGTCCCCTGCGTTGGCAGGCGGACTCTCAACCACTGCGCCACCAGGGAAGCCCCACTAAATATCTTTGAGTAAAAATTATACATTATTCTTAATGTTAATGTGTTATAAAATATTGATCTTGTTTGAGCTGTTTTTAAGATCTTTTAATTTTCCCCATTTGAAAATTAGTTTGAAATTACTTTCACAGAAACTACTTTAAGTGAAAGTTTCTGCATAGTAGTTATTTCTGAAGCATGGAGATACTGTAGTAGCTTAGAATATCAAATAATAATGGAACTTAATTCTCAATATGAAACTCCAAGTTAATTTTTCTTGGTTTTTTCAAATTAAAAAAGTATAGTATTGGTAATTAATGGTTTTTTCAAATAAAAAAAGTACAGTATTGGTTTTTTAATGGTTTAAAAATGGTTAATGGTTTTTCCAAATTAAAAAAAGTACAATATTGGTAATTCCTTAAAATAGCTTAAATGATTTTTATCAGTATCTTCTTATTTTTATAATCAGTGTTTTATATCATAAGTCTTTACTTTGGTTTTGATCAATTAATCAACTTTCTTTTTCAGTTAAATGTGCACATTGTATTTGAAGGAGAGAAGGAATTTCATCAAAATGTGAAATTATGGGGTGTAAGTATTATGAATCCAGCAGAATTTTTTCTTAATATTTAAAATACCATTGTATAATAAAAGACAGTACTTTAGTAAGCATTGATGCAAAGTGTATATATAACTTACCATTATTTCTTACCAAAAAGTTTAAACTAGGGATAGAAATGGCCTTAGAAGCTTGGAATTTTGACTCTTAGCAATAGGCATAGGCATAGACATGAAATCTTGTTTATCGTTTCAACCTACTTGCCTCTAAAACTACTAAAAGCACCCAGGTGTACTGTAATTCTCTTTGATATGTTGCAGGTGATTGATGTAAAGCGAAGTTATGTAACTATGACTGCAACGAAGATTGAAATTACCATGAGAAAAGCTGAACCTATGCAATGGGCAAGCCTTGAACTGCCTGCAGCCAAAAACCAGGAAAAACAAAAAGAAGATACAACAGAATGAGTTGAGAAGGAAAAGAAAGTTATTGACTATTTCAGAATCCTTAATATGTGGTGAAGTGGTGGCTTGCTGCTGTACTCTTGTTTTCTTGTTCTTGTTGTTGATAATGAATCTGGCATTTCAGGGTCTACAGTAGGTCCAAGCCAAAGTCAGTTTATCTTTTTGTGCCTCCCGTATCCCTTTTGAGTTACCTAAGACTGATTATTCATTTCTCCTCACTAATAGAACTGTAGTTGTGTCTTATACTTGAAGCAGCTAGAAAATAGCTCACAACAGTTACAGCATTTCGTAGTGTATTATGTTAATCAGAGAAATGTAAAGAAGCATTTGTTTTTACATTTCTTTCTTTTATCCTGTAATTAGTAAAGCAAGATGGAATGTCAAATTTTTAATTAGTTTATTCGTGAGTTTGTGTTCCTATGATACTTGAAAATCTTTAAGAAAGAGATGAAGCTCTGCATTGCTTTTTCCACTCATCAATTATGTTTTGTGGGGGGATTAACTTGAGATAGTGTAGTAAGTAGTAACGGGGAATATATGCATTGATTAACAAATTTCAATTCATTTACAACTAATTGGATTAAAAATTGCATCAGTACCTATATAACTGGCTAAGCAGTATGATTTAAGAGTATAGGAAACATTATAAATAAGAATATAAAGGTATCAATTTGGTTAAAATTAACCATTTTATGAGACTAAGCAATAATGTTAAACATCTTTTTCCTGACTATTTATAAGGTCTTTGTATGGTGTTATGACTGAATTGTACCTAATTTATAGCCTACACCCTCTTAGAATCTTTTATTAGTTACAAAGATCTGGCCTCCCTGATGGAAAAGTGTTTGTAAAGTTGTTGACTAAAAGGCTTATGGAAATACATCAGGGTATCAGAAAAGTAAATATTTAAGCTTTGCTTTATGACAGTTATTACATGTTAAATAAACAAAATAGCTTATTCTTTTGGAGGTTTTTTTTTTAAGGCTTTCATGAACAGCTTGACAATTCTAGGTGATACAATATTATATATTGTATTTGATTAAATATAGGTATCACAGAATTAGATTGTTTATGCTAATTGAAGTCATTAAAGGATAGTTACTTTTTGAGGCAGTGCAGAACTCACAAAGAAAACTGATATTAAGACGTGTTATGAAAGCCGAAACTCTGGCAGAACTTAATACGTTTGGGTGTGAATTATGTTTATATAGATTAAAATGATTATTTTCTTAAGCTCCTTGAGTGTTTTTCTTTTCTTGGTATTAATGGACTTCTTATACAGAAAAGTTTGCATAAGTTTAATTTTAGTTAGTAGCATATCTCAGTCTACTACCCTTAACAGGTAATTATTAGATGTAGTTATATAATTCTTAAACGGTTTAGCTGCGTTATGTATAAAGACAGAAAAATTGGCAGCCAGCTTTTCATGACACTAAAATACCATGGCAAGAAATTTTTGCAGTGAAGATTGGACTCAAATAGAGTATATGTTTCTAGTACTTGGGGTTGTATTTAAATTTTTTAAAGTTATCTTTCATAATTTTGGAACGTGTGTTCATTTGGAGACATGAAACCTTGTATATTGTTAGGGGAAAGGATTGATAATTGATAATTGATTCGATTTGAGGTAATGATTAGTAGACCCTTTTTGTGTGTGTGTGGGGGGGTACGCGGGCCTCTCACTGCTGTGGCCTCTCCCGTTGCAGAGCACAGGCTCCGGACGCGCAGGCTCAGTGACCATGGCTCATGGGCCTAGCCGCTCCGTGGCATGTGGGATCTTCCCGGACGGGGGCACGGACCCGTGTCCCTTGCATCGGCAGGTGGACTCTCAACCACTGTGCCACCAGGGAAGCCCTAGGTAGACCCGTTTTCGATGATTCCTTCTTGAGGTTTTTTCCCCTGAGCAGTATCTTTATATGTTATGTGCCCGTGAACTATTTAAATCAAGCGTATTATTCACCTAAGAGTTAGTTACAAAGCACTGACCTTTTTATGTGTGTGTATATATATATATATATCATCTCTCAGAAAAATGCTTATTAACTTTATTAAGTTGTTTCTCTAGAAATGCTTCATCTTTCTTAGCATTCATAGTAATTACTATAGTAAAGCAGTCAACTAATCTGACAGCTGACTCAACATGGGAAACATAAAATACCATTTTTCTTGCCTGGCACGTTTACTAGTATAAAGGAGAAAAGTGCTAAGAATTTGAACTTTTATTATTTTTTAGCCTCTTATTTTTGAGATAATTTTAGATTTACAGAAGAGTTGCAAAAAAAGTACAATTTTTTATATACTTACATTGATCTTCCCTATACGTTAAAATCTTACATACCTGTAGAACATTTACAAAACTAAGAATTAGCCTTGGTACAATGCTGTTAACTAAAGCTGAACATTAATTTTGACCATTTGTTTTTAGTAGAACACGATTTAAAGAGTAGTTCTTGAGACCTATCCTAATATTTTGGTAGTAATTAAAGCCAGTAATTATGAGCCATTAAAAATATAAATTGAGGGCTTCCCTGGTGGC